TGAAGAGGACCCCGAACCGATCGACCCATCAAGATCTGATACAGATCCGCACGTACAAGAGCACGACACGACGCATAGCTAAGCAGCGATCGAGCTCTCAGCACCCACTCACTCCTTTCACCAGAGACTTGGGATTATTTCCCTCTCTCGCCCGTTTGTAACCCCTACTACAAACTTTCGGTGCTATTAACACGAGCAGCAACGACGAACTGGACATAGGGACTTTCTGCCCGAACCAGTATAAATCTTATGTCCTCTAAGCACACCATTCGAGCTAGACGCGCAATAATACAAATTTACTCGTCAGTGGTAACTCGAAACACCGACACATACTTAGTAGTCTCCAAAATTTTTGAAACTACACACATTCGTAGTGCATCTATAGATATACATTGTCGAAAATTTTGGGATTCAATCTCGTTTTGTAAGAATTCATAAAAAAGAACACATTTTAGGTGCATATGCACTAGAGGACAAAATTCACACTTGAAATTTGTTATTTTCGTATGATTTTTTTAGATTAAGTTTGAATGTTAAATTTTATAGCAATATGCATCTATAGATACATTAGGATGTGCATAGTTTCAAAATATTTAAATGGAATAAATCAAGCAGCTATAATGGACTTATATAAATGAGATGTATGTGTCCTGAACATGAATTAATGGTTTATAGACTTCTACGGTATTCATCAATTGAAATTCACTAACCGTTGATAATGGGATATTGTGAACGGAGGAAATATGATCTAGATTGATAGAAAATATTCCAAGATCATACAAAGTACGTACGATCATTAATAATTGGAGTTGGAAAAATCATATATTCCTTTAGTTACAGATGAGTTAGTCCAATTCATCAATATATAGAACGTCTAGGCCGATGTACCGGCCGGGGCTGGAGCCGTACTTAGAAGTCGTAGACTTATCTTTAAACTAAAAGTACACCTCATGCAGAAATTGTGGATGGTTTAAAATAAAATTATACAAATTATTACTTATATAAAAAATAAACTATTATAAATTAATATCAGTGAATGGTGTAACACGCTATTATGAATAACTAAATACATGTTAGTGGATGATGTGTTTCGATAGCGTGTGCATTATAATAGCAGATGCTTGTGGACTGTAATTATATCTGATATTAGATAGCTGAGATGAACAGCTTGCATATCAAGATAAAACTCTAGTGGAGTTTATAATTATAGGATGTATAAATATAGATTTTGAGTTCAGAGTAAATTGTTTATTTATATTAAATTTTTTTAGACCAAAGGCTTTTAGCCCGGCTTCTATTTAAAAGCTTAAAAGATGTTCATGCTGGGGATACCAGCTTTTACATAGAGGATAATAGAACGAATAAACGCTCCCCAACCACAACCTTAACAGACTCCAAAACACGCAACGCCAAAGTCCTAGAGTTCCAGACTCAAACAAGCACCCAGCGGCAAAGAGCTGTCTAACAGAAGATTATACAGAGAAAACAAAAGATTTCTAGGAGCAGGTCACCATCTCGTCAAACCTTCCTTCAGCTTCGCCAACCAGCTTTCCATATTTGCTCCATCCTTTTTCGCCATCTTGCACCACTGCTTCAAAAATCCAAATGTTTTATAAACTACTTGTTTAGGTGATTTGATCACAATGTTAGAAAAGACTAGGTCATCCCTAGTTTTCCATAGCGACCGCCCAACTGCCGCCATGACCCACCAAAATAAACATCTAGAATCCCCTCCACTATTATTAATGATGTCATGAAAGCTTTTGACAGAAGAGGGAGCTCGCTCCCAACCTAAGCTATCCCTGACCCAGCACCATGTTGCTACTGCTATTGGACATTTGAACAGTAAATGATCTACATATTCCTCTTTTAGGCAGAATTTACAATCTTTAGAACCATCCCAGTTCCTCCTCCTCAGCTATTGAGTTGTCTGGATCCTGTCGTGCCATGCCATCCATAGAAAAATTTGCACCTTCAAGGGGATCTTGGTATTCCAAATTTCCATCATCCAGTGTCGATAACACCCCCCCCCCCCAAAAAAAAGTGATGAGCCGATATAAACTTCTTGTGGAATATTTGCCCGACTGTCCAAGCTTCCATGTCACTCCATCATCCTCATCTGATAATTGCACACGCTCCAATTTTTCCATAAGCTCCCCAGCAATCTGGAGTGATATATCCTGATCATGACAGATCTTTTAGATTTTAAGGAAACACACCGAGAGAGGACACTCCTCTAACCATACATCTCTCCAAAATCTCGTTTGTTTGCCACTTCTTACAATATGTCCCTTACCTTTCTCATACCACCCCTTAGTGGAATATAGGCCCTGCCAAAACTGAGAATTACCTGCATATTTACTTTGACAGAAAATCTGCCCCTCTTAGGTATTTCCTCCTCAACAAATGCATACACATGCTCTCTTCTCCACTCTCCGGTCTAAAAATCCACTTACAAAGCAGAGCAGTATTTATGGCTCTGGTATCTATAAAGCCCAGGCTCCCAAATTTTTTAGGTTTATCTAAAGCATCCTGCTTGATCTGTGGTATTATTTTCTTGTTGCCAACTCCATCCCAAAAGAATTTCCCTCTACTAGTATCAAACCTTTGATGAGTCCCTTCATATAACCAATAAACCAATAAAAGCCCATTGTGTACATAGGAATGCTAGTTACGCCGGAATTGATCAGGATAGATTTACCCCCATATGATAAATGTCATATTTCCATGTCTTAAATCTTTTCTCTATCTTCACAGCTGAGTCACTCCGTTCAGCCTTAATCTTATCTATACCTAATACTAAAGTGGTAAAATTTCTGCCACCAAATTTTGTTTCGTTTAGCCCTGTCCACCCGTATCTATTTCTGCATTGGTCCATCAGTTGCAAACAGAGATTATGAGGGATTAGGAATGGGGAAGAGAATAGAAAAAAATACAAGATTCCAGATGTAAAGATACCAGATAAAAACAAAAGGTGGGAGGGCCTTAGTAGTTTTTGAAATAGATCAGGGTTCCTGTTGCAAATGTCTAAATCCGAGTGGGCTTCTTTTTTTTTGACTTGGGCCGAATCCTTGCAGTTAGGCTAGCTTCGTTGTGGGCTAGACTAAGCCCATGCAAGCCTTTTTTCCTTCTCTTTTTTTTATAAAAAACAAAGATCTTGCAAAGTTCCCAAAAAATTGTAGAAAAACAAAAATCCACAAACCAGTTTTGTTAGCTTCATAAAAATGTGATCTATCCATAGATATTATGAATCTTGTTAGATTGTGCTTTGTCTATAGGTGTATTAAATTATCCTTGCATATGTTGCATGCATATAGATTCGGTGATGATTGAGAACGTGCCAGAGGCAGACTCGGAATACGCGGAGGTGACCGAGGAGTACGAGGAGGATGTCCTCGTTGTCGGTGTTCGCAAAACCTTCGCTAACTTTCCACTGTCTGGTTCCTGCCTAAGGCAAGCCCCGGTGCATAACCCATACTTTTCAGCACTTATTATGTTTGTTTGCGCATTAAGTTTTGAGGAGAAAGATTTACACCATCTGATGTAGTTTTGATAAGAACCAAAACTTATTTTTATTAAAATATGGATTAGTTAATGGTGCAGCTAATTATTTCTTGAACTAGAATCTTAAGCAGATTATTGACTAATGAAATCTAAACAAATGTATTTATGTAATTTATGATAAGAGCTGTCATTTGAAAAATCAAGAGATCTCCCGTCATAATCATTGGCGGACAGACAAATCATGACACATCGACAACAAAGCTATGGAGGTTGACATGACGCTTCAAAAAAGCTACAAAGGTCGATATTAAGTCAAAGAAACACATGGGTAGTATGAAAAAGCAACAAAGCTACAATATATTTATATTGAAATAATTATGTACTTTGCAACGGAAGGAAAAATATATTAAGGTGTATATTTTAATTCGGTACAAATTTAATATGATATTATTATTTATTGCCTGCATTAACTTATATTATGGATGTGACGGTCATCATGAAATAAATCAAAAAAGAAAAAAAACATAAGTAGATATGTACCATTTACGTTATCGTTTTACATGAATATTTAGTAGTTTTTTTCTTCCGTTGCAACGCATGGACATATTTGCTAGTGTCACTTATAGGCAAACCTAGGTACTTCATAGGAAATGTGCCCAACTTGTAGTTGAAAAAAGAGCGTATTAGGATTCTATTGTCAGTGACGACAAGCTTATGGTGGTTTTTATGATAAGAGGGTATCACAAAAGCTAAAAGACAAGTTTTATACAACGGTAATTAGACCGGCTATGTTGTATAGAGCAGAATATTGGCCTACAAAGATTCATCATATTCAACAACTGAGTGTTGCAGAAATACGTATGTTGCGATGGATTTGTGGTCACATAAGAATGGACCGAGTTAGAAACAATAATATACGTGACCGCCTAGGGGTAGCACCAATTAAAGAAAAACTTAACATCGGTTGAGGTGGTTTGATCATATCTAAAGAAGACTATAAGAGGCACCAGCGCATTGTGGAGTCCTAAACCAAGCTAATAATGTGAGGAGAGGTAGAGGAAAACCGAGATTGACGTGGGGAGATAATAAAAAGATATTTGAAAGTTTGAGATATATCTAAAAATTTACGTTTGAATAGAAGTACTTAAAAAACAGCGATTGATGTGTCTGAACCGTGAGTAGAGACTTTTGGTGGTTTCAACTCTAGCCTACCCAATTTGATTGGGACTGATATGTTTTGCTGTCGTTATTGTCGTTGTTATAGCAGTAGTATTATTACGATTCTCTCGTTGCAACCCACAAGTATAGTTATTAAGAAAAGAAAAACTGAAGAATCTTGCCCCAATGCAAGAACAGATCGGGTGATGGACCGTGCTCAATGCAAGAACAGATCGGCAGGGCCGCAGGGACCCTGCCGAGCCGGCGGCATCCAGCCTACACAGACGCGGATACTCCGCGCTTCCGTTCTCCGCCATCTCCGTCCCAATCGCCACCAAATGCCACCGCGCGCATCGCTCCTCCTCCGCCGCCGCCTCTCCACCCGCCCGCCTCACCGCGATCACACCAAAGTCGCCGCGCTGCTAGGGGTCCTCAACTCGGCGCCGCCGTCCTCCACGTCGCTCTCACACGCGCTCTCCCGCGCCTTCCCGTCACCCTCCGACGCCTTCCCTCTCCGCAGGCTGCCTCACCTCCTCCCGCAGCTCCCCTCCCCGCTTCTCTCCCTCCGCTTTCTCCTATGGCGCCTGACCTCGTCCTCCCCGCTACCCTCCCAGCACGCTCTCTCCTCACTCGCCGCCTCGCTCCCCGACCTCTCATCCTCCGTGCCGCTCCTCCTCTCGTCCTCCCCACGGCCCCTCCCGCTCCCGCACTATTCCCTCCTTCTCAACATATCCGCTCACGCCGGTCTCTTCCCTGCCTCCCTCGCCGTCCTGCGCCATATGCGGTCCTTCGGCCTCATGCCCGGCGCCGCCTGCTTCCACCACGCCCTTCGCGCGGCGGGCTCCGCCGGCGATGTCTCGGCGGTGCTTGAGATCATGTCTGGGTCCGGCGCCTGTCCTACCGTGCCCGTGATCGTGGCCGCGGTGCATAAACTGGCGTCGGCTGGGGACTTCGAAGTCGCCTACCGGCTGATCGACAAAATGCCGGAGTTCGGGTGTGTGCCCAATGCGGTGGTTTACACGGCAGTGCTCGACGGGATGTGCAGTTTTGGGAACGTGGATGCGGCGTTGAGGCTGATGGAGGCGATGGAGGGCAGTGAGTTTGGTGCAAACTGTGCACCCACCGTGGTGACCTATACGTGTTTGGTGAAATGCCTCTGTGGGAAGGGGAGGGCGGCCGAGGCTCTTGCTGTGCTGGATAGGATGGCAGAGAGAGGGGTGATGCAAAACTGTGTTTTTATGCGGACGCTGGTCGAAGGGTTTTGCACTGAGCAGAGGGTTGTCGACGCGTATGATGTGGTGGAGCGTGTAGTTGGTGATGGGAGTGTTTCGAGTACACAGTGCTACAATGTTCTACTCATTTCCTTGTGGAAAGTTGGCATGGAAGAAGAAGCTGAAGGACTGGCACAGAGGATGATGATGAAAGGGGTGCAGCTGACCCCACTCGCTGGCAGTTCCATGGTGAGGGAGCTGTGCGGAAGGAAGAGGTCGTTGGATGCTTGCTACTGGCTGGGATTGATGGAGGAGAACGGGGTGTTGTGTGACTCTGATGTGTATGGTAGCTTGTTGCTTGGGCTGTGTGAGGAAGGCCACATTCATGAGGCATCAACATTGGGAAGGAAGGTTGTCGACAGGGGGATCCTCATAGAAGTATCTTGTGCTGACCGTTTAGTGGAGTTGCTGAATCAATATGGTGATGAGGAGCTTGCGTCACATATATTGGGATTGAGAAGGCGCCCTGAAGGGTTGTCATTTTAAGCAATTTGCGATGCCGCTCCATCCTTGTGGATGCTCCATCCTTGTGGATGAAGAACATCTTGATTAGTCATGGGATGTGCCAAGAATAGTGTTTCACCGACTTGTTGCGAATTTGCTTGTGAACAGATTCAGCAAAATGGCTTAGTGCAGTCAAAATACTACATATCAGTACAGAATTTTTTTTCTAAAAAATATCAGTCTAGACCACTGTTGAATACAGCATGGAACAAAATCCAACCAAAGTCCCTCTCAACTACTTGCTTCTTTTGGATGACTTTGCTGAAGAACATGATGCAGATCCAGATGGCACTTGACGTCATGTAAACTTCCATTTTCATTTCTGAGGTACATCACCTTGTTTCCGAGGCTGATGATATGCTTCGAGAAGTGCTGTACCTGTCAGTCGAACATCTTTGATATCTTTCATGCACTTGTAATCCTAGGCAGCTTTGTACACTGTCTATAAAAAGTCATTTACTACATTCCCATAAGCACCTAGCCTGGTGTGCATGACGTTTTCTAGTTATCCTCAGGTTTTGTTGACCCCTTTTCTGAAGTAATAGAACAGAGATTAATTTCTCGATTTCATGTAATATTTTTGTATCATTGACCACAGCCTGCACTTAAATTTTGAGAACATTTAGTTGAAAGTTTGATTGCCCATAAAATCTGACGTTCTGCAATTTTTGGTGTGAAAGAAGTATCGCTAGGCGGGCCAGCTGATGCCGGTGAAAGTAGGAGCAGCCGATTGTTGCATTTGTAGGTGGCTGCGGCGCTGGGCGCTTGAGGCAGTGAACATGGGCGGTGTATCAATCTTGTGTGACCAGCACCGGCAGTGTGATTGCTTTCACATAACCGTATTGCAGGCTGCAGATGCTAGCAATCTTCAATTTCAGGACCAGTCTGACTTGCAACCAGAATATGACATGTTGCTGTGATTATGCTGACGGAGTGACGGGACAACAATGGGCCATTAAACTCTGAACAAAATTGGCGCCTCAGGGTCAGGGGAACTTCGACAGCAGGTCAGCAGCAGAGATCAAAGTCACCTTCACCTCCCTCTTGCCACTCCGAATCAAGCAGATAACCGCAAATCATGACAATGGCGTTTCCTCAGTTCCGCAGCTGCTGCGGACATTCTTTACGGAGGCTGACACCTGACAGTGAATCTACTCTTGCTGCAGGTGGGACCAGAGAAGCTCACCCGTGGCGTCTTCGTCACGGTTCACGGTTGGTTCAGAATTTTAATTTCGAAGAGCTTCTCGGGCTAGGCCTTCATCGTTTTGATGATCACTACTACTCCCTTCCCCTTCCCCAAGTCGTAGCGGCCAGCACCGCAGCAGGCAGGAGCTATATAATCAAAGGCAAACAGCCAAACACGCAAACACACCTAGCCAGCTAGCCGTAGCATTGTAGCAACACGCGCACGCCGCAGCCCGCAGGCACTCGCCGCTGCCGCACGGATCACGCAATGCCTCCCACCATGCTCGCGCCGGTGCCCACCAGGCCGCGCTCCAACCCCTTCCGCCGGCGCAGAGGAGCTGCTCCACTGCTCCTCCATCAGACTGCGGCGGCTGCGGCGAAGCGGCCCGCTGAGTCGTCCACCTCAGCCTCCTCCTGCTTCTACAGCGAGGTGATCTCCAACTCCTCCACATCCCTCGCCGCGTATCAGCACCCGGAGAAGAGGCATCGGCGCCAGGACGCGGACGCGGACGAGGCGCGGCCAGCTGGCTCCGAGTGCTCGGAGGTGATCGGCGGCGCGAGGGTGCGCCCCGCCGAGGTCGAGGCCTCTGAGTCGTCGTGCCTTGGCTCCGTGCTCGAGTCCGACCTCGCCTGCCCGGAGCAGCTCGCCGACGACGCTGAGGCGACCGACTACTCCTCCGCGTACGATGAGCTGACCCCGTCGGAGCCCGATGATGAGGAGGTGCTCAGCGGTCCCAGCCACTCCGCGTTGTACTCCCTCAGCCCCCTGATCAGCTCCCCATTGACCGAAGATGACAACGACGACGCGCCCTCCGCGACCTTCTCCCTCTTCCTCGACTTCGCCAAGCAGTTCGTCCCCTGCGTGCACCCAAAAGCGTGTGCCGTCACCAGTACCGCTCTCGATCTCCTGACGGTGAGTGGTTTCTAAGCGATTTTGTTCTTCAATTTGTTGGGAGGGGTTCGATTGCATTGATCAGTGATCTGGTAAATCGATAATGTTTTGGTGGGAATGCTTTTGTCAGGGGAGGCGATTTGAGGACTTGGACGACGAGGAGAGCTACGAGCGGTTCCGGCGGCGCGAGCGGCGCGAGGCTGTTGCGCGCGACTACACTGAGGTGTACAGCTCCATACCCGACAGCTACGGCATTCTCGTCCGGGAGCAACGTGTCGTCATGGTGAACTGGATCATTGAGGTCAGTGCATATTAAACTCTGTATTCTGCCCGTACGGTACGTCATTCTGATCAACAATTTACCTCAGTTTATGCATCCGATGTGACCGAATTTATACGGTGTTAAGGGCTGTACAGGCTTATGCGAGTGAGTTCAGACTTGCATTGTGCCGGCGTTGCACCCGTAGCATACGAGTCTAGCACCAGTAGCTGCATGATTGCAGTAATAGCTGTTGTTTCATGTCAATGCCTTCGTGCTGAGGCAGCAGATTAGTTAGTTCTCTTTCTTATTTTGCACCGGGGTTGTTATCTGCTACTGAACATGTTGTTGTTAACACTAGTTGATGAGTAGATTTCACAACAGCTATGTTATGCAGATGGATGAGTGTACCCTTTTTGTCTGTCAGTAGTCATGTTAGTTCTTATCCTATACTTTGATCACTGTTTCTGGCAACCAACAGAGCTATGTTTGAATAGTAGGTACTCATGTGTACATGGTCTGTTTCACTGTTTGATAAGCAAGGGAGAAGCAGCTGGTTCAGTTATGCAATGCAACAATGTTTCTCCGAATTTCTCTCGCATCTGAACCCCTATCTCATCGGCACACTGCTTGCATGTCTGGAATCATATCTTGTACAATCAGGATGCTTGAATCTTCAGTATCTAAATATGCAGTTTTCTACCTGTAACTCTGTATATACCCTTTACTTTCATATCTATCCCAAATTTAAGCTTTCTGATGTGCTTGGTATTTTTATGAGATTTCAGAGAACCCCTGAAAATACTGTCACATTATTTTTACATCTGAAGGTTTGAATTGCGATTAAGCATTACATTTATATTTCCCTTGTACTCTGCTAGAATGATCTAACTACTAAAAATTATGTGATGCAAATTTATGTTTATTCATTTCTAAATTTGTTCCAAAATCAGAGTTTGGTTGCAAGGAATGACTCTTTGTTATGCAATGCAGCATTCACGTCTGATGAACCTCCAGCCAGTTACAATGTTTATGGGGATTGGATTGATGGACCGCTTCTTGACACAAGGGTATATGAAGGGTTTGAGCAACTTTCAGTTGCTGGGCATTGCCTGCATCACCCTGGCTACCCGCATTGAAGAGAACCAGCCATACAATTGGTAATGTTCTCCCTTGTATTACATGTTTCAACTTTTATGTCTATTTTTAAGAGACTCTATTTCTTCATATTTGGTGAGTTATAGCGACCATCTAGTTCCCTTCTATGCTCAATTTCAGTAAAACTACTGATATTAGTTGGTGATTCCATGGTGTCAGATTTCCTAATTAGATATCCACAGAATTAATGTTTAGCAGCAACTGATGTGTAATCAGTAGCACTCTGAGTGAGTGAGCTCCTCCTTTAATTTGAGTTGGTTCTAACATTGCCTCATAGGATATATGCTAATCATAAGCTATGTTTTTATCCATTTGCATGACTACCGCTGAAATGTGCCTTGGGTCTTTGACAGGCTTTAGCAGGGCAGATGAGATGGTTTGATTTAGTAGAACTATTTTACCGTTGAATCATATTATGAATCTGAACCGTATCTGCATGTGGCAATGGTTTACATGCATTTCCATCTGTCATTTGTTTGTTTTTTTTAAGCGAAACCATCTGTCATTTGTTCCTTCCGATACTTGGTATCTGTGCAGCTTGCATTTAGAAGTGTTCACAAGGTGAATATTTCAGAAGTTTCTTTTTTCCAGGACATAAATTTGGGTTTCCTGATTGTGCTGTTATCTATGATAAAGGCATTGAGCATACTAGTTAGCATTTTTTTAGTTGACTTGATATTTTTTTATATTTGATTTGATATGTATTACTACAATTCGCATTTGGAAGACATGTCAGAGAAGTATATTTAGCTGAAATTGCGCTTGAGCATGTCCTTTGTTCTCCAGATCATTTTTTCTTTTCCTATTCCTTTTCCTTGTTTCTGTTAAGCTCAATGCGCAACATTAATTTCACTGCTTGATCCCTTTCAGCGTCCTTCAAAAGACTTTTAAAGTTGGGATCAATACCTACAGCCAGAGTGAGGTTGTTGCCATGGAGTGGCTGGTTCAGGAGGTCCTCAACTTCAAGTGTTTTGTCACAACAACTCACCATTTCCTATGGTACCACGAACTTCCTGCTTTCTTATCTATTCAGTTGAAAATAAAGTAATGAGAGACTAACACCATTCTGTTCCAATGTTGCAGGTTCTATCTGAAGGCTGCAAATGCTGATGACAGGGTAGCGGACCTGGCAAACTACCTGGCCTTCCTCTCACTTCGGAACCATAAGCAGCTCTCATTCTGGCCCTCGACTGTGGCAGCCGCAGTGGTAGCCCTTGCTTGCCTTGCCACAGGCAAGGAGTCCTCATGCCATTTGGTGATGGAGGTGAACACCCGAGTCCTCCATTTCTAGCTATAAATTTCGTTACATCTGTTATTGTTTAGAAGTTGGTAGGCATATATGAATCAAAGTATGAACTGTAACTACCAGAAGCTCAAGTCAGTTAGCTTCAAAACAGATACCAGACTTCAAATTTACATGCTCAGATTCTAGTTAGACTGGAAATGCCTAATGAGTAGCTCTTTACATATATGCAGACTCACATGAGGACGCAGGACGATGACCTGCCAGAATGCCTAATGGTACGCTTCTCCTCTTCTTTTTCCTATTTTGTTTTTAGAAAGACACTGGATGCCATGAATCATGATTCATGCATGCTACAGTTTGTAGGGCTGCTAACCTTACATTCATTATCCTATGCAATTTGTTTCATGCAGAGCCTCGAGTGGTTGCTCAACTACGTCCCGTGATTCCCAGAGCTCCCAGGTGATAGCAGTGTTTCACATTTTTTCTGTATGGGGACATGAATTGACAAATTGCTCTGTAGGCATTAGTCTGCCCTGTAGAGTGTAGATAAGATAATAGCCAAGGCAGCACGAAACGTAGCTTGTGGATTTTGATTATGCAGCTTTCTGATTCGGAGCACGACAAAGGACGAGATTTTTGGTCTTGAGCTATCGGCCTTTAGGGACTACTGAACTGCTGAATTCGGGCATGTCTATCTTTACATCGTTTATTCGCTCTTTAGGACAGCTAATACAGCTAAAGCTGGGCGTTGTTGTACTCGTTGATCTATTTGTTTAACCAATGTATGGCTGATGGATGATATACCACTGAAATCTATTGTTCGTGTGTGACATGGAGGCATGATCTTGTGATCCTGGAAGATGCTCACGTATCAGGTTTCTGTGGTTTCTGGTGAACAGAATACTATCCTCAGACCTGTCAGGTTGCCTGCCAAAGTTTCGTTTCAGTTAACTGCAGATCAGAAAAGGGGATCGAACACCGTTATTTGGATCCACCAGGACTTCAGTCTTCCGACTCTGATCATCTTTGTTCTTTGGCCAAGTGGTGCCACCACCACCTGCAAGCAGACTTGGTCTCTATCCGGGGGTTTCTCTAGCCGGAGTCGGATGACTTGACTGGAAGGAGGCGATCGATTTCACTTTCAGCTGTGGGGAGTGGGGACTGGGGAGGGGACCCGTGGCTGCGGCTACCTTTTTATTAGGATAGGGGCCGTGGGAGCTCCATCTTGCACGCCTTAAATGAGGAAAACGAAAGGCAAGGCATGCCATTTGCATCCATCATTCCGTTTCGTGCATCAACTTGTGCGTTCATGCATGTTACCCGAATGGTTTGGAGGCGCCTGCAGAAGCGTGCATCTCCCCTTTCACCCCACTTGCGTCTTGCGATTTCGGGAATCCGTCTGCCTTTCTGAGCTGAGGATCGAGGAATGGCTACGGAGCGCACTATAGATTAGACAGGGTTGGCTGTTGTCGCGTCGGGGGAAAATGACTAGAAGAGATGGTGAATGAGTGGCGCTGCCACAACTTCAATGCGATTTTTGTCACAAAAACCTGAGCCAGGTTCAAAGGTTGACCAACGAGTTGATAGGCCCTAGAAGAGATGGTGAATGAGTGGCGCTGCCACAACTTCAATGCGTGTGTACGAGGAGCCGATTCATTGGTTGGTTTTGATTGATAAGCCCAAGCTGGGTTGTTTGTTGCGAGAGAGAAAAACCTTTGTTGGTGATTGTTTGGTGGTCTTTGGTTCGTTCGAGAGAAAAAAAACTTGTTGGTGATTGATAAGCCGCAGGTTGATAAAAGCGAACATACCCTTACTTCTGAAAAAACACTTTGTATTGAGACCGGTGTGGTGATTAAATCGAGCTCGAACATACCCAGATTCACACACTTTGTATTGAGACCGGTGTGGCTAGGGCATTGCTTAGGCTGATCTCCGTACATGTGAAAGCCGATATAATCAGTAACGACGCATTGGGGATTCAATTAGTACTTGACAATCCGGCGGTTCCCATAAAAAAAAATCGCAACAGTGTAGTCGGCATCCTATAATTTTTGAATTGCAACAAGACAACCATGAGACGAATGAATCTAGCCACCCGCCATTGTGGCAACATCTTCCATAGAGATAACAACGTTTGCGAATTATTTGATATATGATATACTCAATGGCCACGTCTTTATATTAACTAAAAGGACAAAAATCGCTCTCTTGGCATGATGATATCATGTCAATTTTCATGACACCTAAAGCACCAAGTTGTTCCATAAATACTAGTGACATGTCATCTTTAAATCATTGTCAGTACTAGTACATGCCACCTGAGTTCTCACGAGGTAGTAACAGTAATATCCATTCGTACCAAAATAAACTGACTTTTGGATTTAATTATTCGGAATCAAATTATTTTAAATGTGACCAAATTCCTAGAGAAACAGTTAACATCTATGGTATCAAATAAGTACATTGTGAAAAAAATATTTCATAGTAATTTGGTGTCCTAAAATGTTGATGTTTCTGCTATAACTGTGATCGAATCTGAAACCACTTGCAACAATAATTGGATTATTTGGAGCGGCTAAAAAGAGAAATGGAATACGGATGAATTGTACTATGTATATTATTTTTTAAGAAAAAAAAGGATGGGCACTTAAAAATGGTTATGATTGGCGGCAGACGTGCAAAGCCCAACGATTCCTGGAGTAGGAACTCCGCAACCTGACAAATGCAGACTCCTTTTCCTACGTCGTTTAGTTCAAAGGTTTGTTAATCATTTCTTGGACGATGTGGATTTGGTAATCATATTGTACATGTACCTAATCTATCCATCCCTTCAACAAAATGAGCGCACATTTTGTATGGTTGGACCTGGATCTCCTTTGCAGGCGGCTGCTGAGAATTCAAGTAACCTCCAAAATTATTAATGGGCCCAAATCTAATGATACAAATGGTAGTGACGTTCGTTTAGCTAACATGGTGAAAAGTATTGGGGATTGATTGCCTAACCCCTGATTGATGGGTCCGTAGCCCAAAACACAAATGGTAGTGACGTTCGTTTTAGCTAACATCACGGGGGACGGCCTAATCCCTGATTGATGGGTCCGTAGCCCTGAAAATTAATACCAATTGTGATTACGAAATACTGTACTTGTGAATACTACTAGTACTACCGTTCTGGAAAACATTTCGGTTTGCGCAGTGGCATGAGACATTTCGGTGTACCGGTGTGCCGTTCTGAGTATAAATTCATTAATTAATACTATCAGTAATTTGATGTGTTTAGCAGGTACTTAGCATCACGCCCTAAGGTCTCGTTTGGTAAAGCTTTAAGCAACTCTAATACTGTTTCTTCATACACTCTAGGAAGGATCTATTGTTCTCTCTCGTTTAAAAATGAACTATGATTTTAATTTTACCGGGTCCGCCATGCATTGTGGGCGTGTTTTGTTAGAACCACGCCTGGGCCACACATCAACGCCAGGGTTAGATGTTGCTGCCTGGCGGAGGCCAGCCAGGGTCCGATCCAAACACGTCTGTACCAAGGAGTCTGAGCAGCCACGCCAAACATGATCTAAATCACAAGCACGATGCAAATATTTTTCTTTTTTGTTGTTGGTAAATGCCGTCTGACCAACCAACACAGTGGTGGCCACAGGCACACTGAGCAAGTGAGCAGTGACAACAGTCTCCAGTGAGCACTGACGCAAACGGCCGGCCAGCGCACAGGATTGCAGAGAGGCCCAGATAACGGAATTGGGCGCGCCGCCGCGCGCGCACGAGGAAGGTTGTTGCAACTTGCAAGGCCGGCAAGCGGCAAGTCGAAGGCGGCAGGAACCGGCGGTTGCGGAAAATGGAGTAGCGGAGGGGGTCGGGAAGGATCCGCGCTCCCGCCGCCTGCGGTGTCCCGTGCGGGCGGGCGTGGGCGTATTCCGTTCCATCACGTGTTAGTGTTAGCTCACATGTCACATCTGGCTCAGGTTTCACAGGCTGCTCGGTTGCTTGCCAAGGTATCAGTTTTATATTCCTCCGCAAAAGGCCGAGCGAGACGGCGACAGGTGAAAGGGTGTCTATAAATAATAAAACCAGGACGAACAGGGACGTGTATCTTATCACGAACAAGTCGTGCGTCATGTGGGTTTTGTTTATGGCAACCGCTGGCAATGGAAAACGAGAGATGACAGAATCTCTACCGGAACGGACCGATCAGAATTATACCAGATCAAAACGTCTCTTGTTGAGAGTGTCTAATCATTATATAAAAAAAATACACGTAAAAATTCGTCACTATTAAAATCAAAGCCTGATAAAACAATCGAACTAAATCCGATGGCCGAAGGAAGAAGTTTGGGCCAGGCTTCAAACGCACCCCTCCGCCCCACGCACGCGCGGCTTCAAACGCGCCCCACGCGCACACCGTCGCCAGCGGGGATGGAAGGCTGCGACTGCAAGCGAGCACAGAATGAAAAAGGAAACGCACCATCAGGGCCCAAGCAACCGTTGATCCCGCCGCCGCCGCCGTCCTCCTCCGCGCACGCCGCGGCTACCAGGCCGGCCGTGGGCGCAAGCGCCGACGTGGTCGCGTGCTCGGCTGCGGGCTCGAGTGCCGCCGCGATGTGTGCTCGGCGGCGGCGGACGAGTAGCTAGGACCACGATTCTTCGGTGTAGGTACCCCCATATATCTCTCCCTCTCTAATTTCCTCTGATTTTCGATTTGGTCAGGAAGTTCTCTAAGGGTGTGTTTGTTCCATCCATGGATATCCTGAATATAGGTTGTTTTGTTGGATGGACAAGTTGGATCTTAATATCCATGATAGGGAATATTTTGGGTAGATGCTGGATATCGTGACCATGAGAAATCTGGCAGATGAGCCTAGCCATGCTTTCTAATTTTTGTCATTAGCAAATAAATTAAGGATTATTAGTATGTTGTGTTATTAATTAGTAATTACGATGATAAAATAAGTTTTGATAAGTGTTACTATGTTGATTAGCACATGTTTTGTGTGACAATTAGAGTAGTATAGTGCTAATTAACATATTTTATTTTTAATTAGTGATTACAATGATAAGATTAGTGTTAGTGCATATTTATTAGAGTATAATTAGTTGTTATTATTTTTAAATAACATATATAATTAGTCAAGTATTCTTATCCTATTCAATCTCGTCCATCCAACCAAACAAAAAATGGCTTGTCCCATCCATCCAACCAAACAGACAACATGGATATCTATGTTTCGAAATCCATAGATGGTTATAGCACATCCATCCTTATCCTCGAACCAAACGCACCTTAGCTTCGGGATTCTTTTGTGCCCCTCCCCCCCCGAACACGATTTGGTCCTAATTTCAGTTGCGGAGCAGAGCACACTGTTACAGGAGGTTCATCCACGATTCTTCAGTGTTTCCCCCATATATCTCTCCTCTCTTCATCAATTTCCTCTGTTTTTTTTTTCGATTTGCCGTAAGAAGATCTCTAACGGGGCCTTTGTATGATTTATTCTTGCATTTTTTGGGTCCATTATTTAGTCTTCAATCTTGAAGTATGGTGTCGATTCTTTTGTTGGTACTACTAGCTGCTTTCTTTTGCAGGCTTTGGTCCAGTAAACATGCGAGACAGGTATGATCAAGTTCGAACCTGATTTCAGTCTTTTTCCTATAACAGCTAGAATCCACACACATAAATTTTCTGTCATTTTCCAAATAAATTAAGGACCCTTATTAGCATCCTCTCAAGACTCATTACAGAGGTATATGTATGTGCCCAATGGAATGAATTTTGATAAGTGTCCCTTCATGTTGATTAGCAACACTTATGTGTGTCAATATAGAGTCCTACAATATCATCTGATTCAATTGTTTTATTTTTATTAAAACATGTTAGACTTGATCAAATCAAGTGCGTTACTTCCGCGTATTCATTTGAAGGTCGGATTGCACTGTGGATTGTAGTCATAATAAACTATACTTCCACGTATTAGTGTTGATAGGTTGTTGGTTGTGCTTTTTAATTTCAGAAATCCGTACCAAACGATGTAATGGAGAGCAATATTAGTGTTGAGGGCTCTCCATTTGTGTTTGCAAAGGTCGTTCTTTAATATAGTTTTTGCGAGGTTGAGCAATTTTTATGTTAATGGTGCAGGTTATTCCCCTTTTATAAGGTGCACTGGACCCTGGTTACGACCATTGTAATTTATTTGAAAAATATAAGGTTACACTGCTTTCAGGTCTTTTTTTTGTACTAGACATTCTTTTCAGATAACAATGAAATAAAATTTGGATCCAGTGGAGATTAAGAGGAAAAAGGCAAGAGACATACGCCAATATGTTGGGCACAGAAAAGGAGGAAAAGCTCATAAAAGGAGGCAATCTGCAGGCAGATCAAGCAATGAACATACAAACATGTCCCAGGATACACATTCAGTAGTAGAGCCATTTTTTCCAACTATAGGATAGATATATGGTTGTCCGGACAACTAGACATTTTTAAGTCAATGATTATAGAAAAGGTAATGCTAGCTTGTTACAAGACATGGTGTAGTATTCATGATTTTAAGTGTACTAAAGGCGGCTTAACATGGACATATAGAATAATGGTGCTGGACAATCATGGTTACCCTCATCTATATTATATATTGAATATTAGATTTGTTTCTTCATCCTATTAATCAAATACTAGAATTAAAGTGTGCAAAAATTGTGGTTAAATTTTTACGATGATAATAAGGATACTATCTTTTGGCTTTTACCATCCTTTAACACAACACTACTAGTTAGAAAAGGATAGGCCTTATGATAAGAGATGAGCCCAATGGAATGCTTGGACAATATTTTTGTATCGAGGAGCAAATAATTACTTTTTTGTGTTTTTCTATACTATATCTGGAGAATTTCGGGTGGAAGATCTCAGGAAAGGCTCATCGAGTCTTTAAGTCCAATAACAGTAGAAAACATCATCCTTCGAGATCGTTTCGTAAAGGAGGGAAAAGACAGAATCGATCAAATGTCACCTTTCTTCTTGGCAAATGAGCCAAATCACAATTTGCAATTTGATAATATCCGGGTGTCTTATTTATTTTGCATATGTCACTACCTACATGAAGAATGAGCCTAATCAGATCGTTTTATTGAAAGTAGAGAGAGAGAGAGAGAGAGAGAGAGAGAGAGAGAGAGAGTTTTTCTAGGATTACTGAATTTTTCCTTCGATAAGATGGTCCTGACAGCTTTGTGAAAAGTTTTTAGTAGTCTAGATCACTCTAACCCCCATTAACGGTATTATTTTAGAGCATATCCAAGAATCAATTATCGAGTCTTTGATTATTCTAGGTCATCAAAAAGAACATGGAGCTAATTTGTTGTCTTTCTTCAACTTATTCTAACGATCTACTCTTTATTTTTTTTTAAACATGGTTCACCACATAATTTTTGGTTCTTCCATTTTTTCTTTCATGCACTGTCATCCACTACCCTTAAGCCGACGTCCATCATCCTCCAGCTACCCCCACGCATCCAGTCGGTTGAAGACCCCTCTCTAGCGATCGTAGCAGATAAAGCACAACACTAGAGCAAAGTGAATAGATAAATTATTAAACCCTAATAGCAACTACTACATCCATTTCAAATTATAAGTCATTACAAAAATTTTGGAGAGTCAAAACATTTTAAGTTTGACTAAAATTATAGATAATTACAAAGATTTATAACATCAAATAGGTATACTATGAAAATTATAGAGAGAATTACAGAGAATCTAACGATGCTTAATTGGTATCACAAATATTATTATATTATCATATAAATTTGGTCAAACTTGAGATGCTTTGACTCTCTAAGATTCTTAAAATGACTTATAATTTGAAATGGAGGGAGTATTTTGCATAGCGCGGGGATAGCGCCTCTAAAAAAACTATTTTGCATAGCTCTATTTCACCCAAAGCACAACCTACACAATCTAGTAGCACAACTACTAGGCACTTAAACAAGCCACGTATGCGAGCTCAGTGCTCGGTTCTCCATATATATAGCATGTAAGACTTAAGAGTCAGTGTACAAATACGTTAGAAGTTGGGTTTTTACCTCGCTAAAAACTGAGATTTTGATAATGACATTAGAAAACTCGATTTTTACCTTCATTTTTGTATGCGCCAATTCAATCAAATTTCAGACGAACCAAAATCTGTCGACGCCTCCATTTGCGACAGCCAACTTGGGGAATGTCCGATTCGAGAGAGGAGAGCGAAAATAGGCAAATTCCTCAAAAAAAAAAAAAAAAAGAGAACAAAACACTCAGCGCTCCCTGTGGTGTGGGGTGACGGGCACAGCGCCACGCGACCAATGGGAGGAACAAACTTCCGCGTGCGCTGCTCGCCAGATCCAAACGAGCCTGGTCGTGCGAGTCACCCGCGCGTCGCTGTCGCTGTCGCGGAGCCAGAGCCACTAGGCTCCCGCGCGGGTCCCTCCCGCGCCCCGACCCCAGATCCCCATCCCCTATTCCCAGTCGCGGCCTGACGTTTGGAAAGTTCTCCCCGTCTTCCTGCCACCGTGGCCAGTTTCACCGCACGCCTTCGCTTGCCTCCCCCACGTTTTCTCGCTGCCCCTATCTGGACGTCTCTTTTTATGGGTCCGCTCACCGCCAGAGTCGGCTACTGCACAGAATCCGCATCCGCTCGTGACTGCCGCCTGGAATGGACCGTACCAGACGGGACCCGGAAGATGGAAAGAAATGGAAGGCGCCGGAGGACCGCAGCCGCCCCCGGGCCGGCGCTGGACGGCCTAATTTTGGTTGGCACGATAGATTAGGAAAGGAGATTTCTTGTTCTTGGTCCGTGCTAATCGTGGCACGTGATTGGTGACTTGGAGCGAAGTGTAGGTGGCTAATGGACAAAATCCCGAGCCTTAATGCAATGCAAAAGGCACCTAAATTGCTCCGTTAGAGCGTGGCTTTGGTGAGGTGGGACGTGTACATTTTTGTGAGTATATGCGTACATGGGAAACGTTGCGTGACTTATTAGTGGACCCATCGGTCGGCAAGAGCGTTTGTGGTAATTTCTCTATTTATTTAGGAGCTTCCTACACATATAACATGCATGTGGTATCCAATAGTCTAAATTAGTTCATTGGTTGTACTTCACCGAAAACAGAACCACTGGCCTAGCCACCTCCCAGGGCGTCTCTCTTCCCTAGAAATGGAAAAAAGTGGCATGCCTCGATATGACGGTCACTACTGGTTTCAATATTCATATACCAACATGTAAAGTGCTTCGTTATGTAAAAACAAAAGGGAACTCCCATTGCAAGTTTATACAAAAACAACATTCAGCTCTACTACATCCAGTTTATCGGTAGGAGTATTTCAGAAGACCTATTATACTATACAATGACTAGTTGACGTGTTTAATTTCTTTGTCTATCCAAACTGATGTTTTGGTAATATAAAAGCGATGTTCTGGCCCTGTTGATCTTACCCCAATTTAAAGTATCGTACACCAATATGGACAATACTTTGCGCATGCGCTAACTCAATTTTAAAAAGTTTACTTGCATAGGTCTATATACAAGTTAACACTATTCTCAAAGCAAGCCTAGTTTGTTGTATGTGTCCCACGTTTCGGTCAACTTGTGTATCTAGCTATGCACCCTTTCTCTACACCCGCTTCGGATCCCATAGTATGTCCACTTACGCAGAAACCAATGACACACATAACATTGTACAACAATAACAAATTGCATTGTTGTGCCTAAGTTAAGAGTATGCTGCATAACATGTGAGTAACCAATTGGATTCATAGTGAGATTCTAAATTCTAGGTAGTGATTGTAGAATCTAAATTTTGGATAAAAAGATGAAGAGTGTTTGGATCTCATTCTTATAGTGATTATTACTTTTGTATAGTAAAAATCTTTAGATAGTAGGTTTGAGATGGATTCTAGAATCTCATTATAGAATTTAAGTGTTTGGATCTCATCCATATTTTTTAAGATAAAAAAGACCCTTATTCTTATCCAACTCAATATGGATTATACCAAGAATGAGCTACTCCATAATTAATTGGCATGACCAGTGGCGGAGCTAGAGCAAATATGAGGGGGGGGGGGTGTTTGCCTTTGTCGGTGCAAGGGTTTGCAATGTGTAGATGCATATATGGTTGAAATTTGGGTCTCATCACTGTTTTTCAATTTTTTTTTGGGTGCGGCCACACCGACAAAGCTCACTGTACCGGGGGCGGGTCGCCCCGGCAGCGAATGCGCTCCGCCCCTGTAAATTTGGAAAGGATTGAAGCGGATCGACCCCAAACCAAGGAGGATAGGCTAGGTTCACGAGGCCATCGACCCTGGGTCGACCCGAACCGAACCTCCATAACGATGACGTTCGTGGCGGCGCCCATGCTCAGGATCGGCCAGGCTCCCACGCGGTACCAGGTCCTCCTCCGTGGCATCACCGTCGCGGGACGGGCGCTCAGCGTGCCCGCGGCAGCCTTCGTCGCCGGCTCCGTGATGGACTCCCGCACCGCCATCACCCGCCTGCCGCCGCCGCCGTACCAGGCGCTGCGCGCCGAGTTCCGTCCTGGCGGCTCGGAAAGGGAGCCTGACACCTTCTACGACTTCACCGGCGTCCTCGTCGTCACGGTGCCGAGGGTCGCGCTGGTGTTCGTCCGGAACGCCGTCGCAAAGCTAGATCCCTCGGGGATCTTGCTCGATGACTGCCTAGCCCGCCTTCGTGCCCAACAACGACTTCCTCCGTAGACCATCGGCAACGTGCAACAATAGACCATCGAGGTGCTCTACGACGTCGGCGGCGGCTCCATGAGCTTCCGCCGTGGCACGTGCTCATTCAGCTGATCAGCTCAACTACGTTCTGGTTCATTTGATGTCTACTGCACAACCATGTGTTTTATGTAATTTCAACACATGATTTTTTTTCACCATAAGATTAAGATCTAACAGACTGCATTCTTCTTTTATCTCTAGCCTTCTTCTACCTTTAGACAATCACAAGATCACAGATCCACAGATCACAGAAAACATTTTTTTTCTATGGAAGGACAAATTACAGAGCGGTTGGTTCCATTGCCTGCCAGTTCGTCATGGGTCGTCGCGTCGTGGGGCCCCTGGCCGGGCGCGATTCTCCATGCGCGAAGGAGGCGGTCGAGGCGCAGAAGTCGCTCAGGACAGTCGAGGCGCAAAAAGCACACTACTGGTGCTGCGCTGCTGCGTGTTCTCGCCGTGTTTTTTTTTTTGCTAAAAAATCCATGTGTTTTTTTTGTGCTAAAACGCATATGTGTTGTATAGCATTTCTGATTTTATTAGTTGTAGCATGGAGAGAGTCATTTGGTAGAAGTCCAAGACCCTACCTGTACTGATCAGCGGTTCTTTTTTGGCAGCTTCCTGTTGTTTCAGCTGCTGTGGTTCAATTAAGGCAAAATTGGCTATAGGATACTTAAAGTGACATATCTTTACTAACGAACGTGCAAAATAAAACGATTTGCTGGTGTGATACTGTCGTCGTTGTTAAATTTGCTACTGGACATTATGTCAAATAAAATATTAATTTTTGGCTCCTGAGGAGAGAGAACAGCGGGGAAATGTCCGTTTTGCCCATTTCTTCTTCCCCCGACTCTTTCTATTCTTTCTCGCCGGTGCCCCTGCCATGGCCGCAAGTTCAGAGCTCGGAGCTCGCCGGTGACGACGCCTTGGGCCTCCTGGGTCTGCCTCCGGCCCCGCTACCCCGCGCTCCGCCGCGCCGCCGGCGGCCTCGGTCTGCAGCCACCCACGTCCGCCCGCAGGTCGTGCGCAGGTCCACAACTGCCCCCGCCGGTCTGCAGGTCGCTCACGTCCGCAGCGGCAGGTCGCGTCCGTTTGCGTGCAGGTCGCGTGCCCGCTTGCATGCCCGCATGTCGTCGCCGTACTCAGGCCAAGCCCCGCCATGGCCGCGAGCTTGGAGCTCGCCGGTGCCTGGAATGTGAGCAGCAGCAGCGCACGCATCAATGGAGACGTGGTGCTGAAGGTAGGCCCGGGGCACACAGCTTGGTAGTCGCGACCGCGCCAAAGTCGGCCTGCGGCGGCCCCGCCGCGAGAGTCAGCAGCCATGGAGGACCCGAGCCGGGGCGTGAGGGCGGGGCTATGCGCGCACGACAGCGACCAAGGCGCAAGCACGCTTCGGCTATGCGTGGGGCCGCAGGTCGCGGCGGCTGCGGGGCATGAGGAGGCTGTGGCGGCGCGTGAGGCAGCAGGGCGCGGGCGGCAACAGGCTGCGGTGGCACGTGGGTCCGCATGGCGCACCGACAGCGGGCCGTGATGGCACGGGCGATGGGAGCTCGGCCATGGTGGTCTTGGCACAGTGAGGGAAGAGGGGGCGACACTAACACGACAAGTGGGTAGGGGTGCTCAACCATGCGGCCCGAGCCAACGACCGTCGATGGCCTTTGCTCATCGTTGGGGACCAGTGAAGGGAGGAAGAAGATAGAGCCAGGGGAAGAAGAAAGAGCTCTCTCCTTGTGAGCCAGCCTCAGCACGGCCCGGGAGGCACGGTGCCTGCCTCGGCACGGCCCGGGAGGCACGACGTGCCGTGCCGGCCCGAACCCCATCGGGCCCTGCCTGGCATGGGCCCGTGCTGTGCCGGGCCGGGCTGGGCCGTTGGACATCTACAGGACTAGCACGGTTAGCGCACAAGCGACAAAGCGCACCGCAGACTGCGGGCGCACAGCACAGTAGCAGAGGATAATAAGCCACGGGCAGGGGAGGGGTGGAGATGCAACAAACTCACCCGCCGGTGCCGCCACCGAACTCCACTCTCACCCACCCGTCTCTCACTCCTGCCCCGGCCATTATATAGATAAGCTCCTCTCGTGTCACTGCTTGCCTCCCCTCCTCACCTCAACTCTCTCGGCATTCGGCAACTCCTCACCCCACAGCTGTCTCAGAGTCCAACAGGCCAATGGCTCTCGTCCGCCAGCGCCGCCAGCTGCCGCACCTCACCCTCCCGCTCGACCACTTCGCCCTGCGCCTGCCGCCGCAGCCTCAGCCCACCGCCGCGCCGTCCACCTCCACCTCCGACGCCCGCCTCTCGGACTACGAGAGGCTCTCCGTTCTCGGCCACGGCAACGGCGGCACCGTGTACAAGGCGCGGCACCGGCGGTCCGCGCAGCCGGTCGCGCTCAAGCTCTTCGCGGACGGGGACACCTCCGCGGTGCGCGAGGCCGAGATACTCATGCTCGCCGCGGATGCGCCCCACGTCGTGCGCCTCCACGCGGTGATCCCGTCGGCGTCAGCGGCCGCCGCCGGGGAGGCGCCCGCGGCGCTGGCGCTGGAGCTCATGCCGGGGGGCTCCCTCTCGGGCCTGCTCCGTCGGCTGGGCCGCCCGATGGGGGAGCGGCCCATCGCCGCCGTGGCGCGGCAGGCGCTCCTCGGGCTCGCCGCGCTCCACGCGCTCCGCGTCGTGCACCGCGACCTGAAGCCGTCGAACCTGCTCGTGGGCGCCGGTGGCGAGGTGAAGATCGCCGACTTCGGCTCGGGCAAGGTGCTGCGGCGGCGGCTGGACCCCTGCGCGTCCTACGTCGGCACGGCGGCGTACATGTCCCCCGAGCGGTTCGACCCGGAGGCGTACTCGGGCGACTACGACCCCTACGCCGCCGACGTGTGGAGCCTCGGCGTGGTCATCCTGGAGCTGTACCGGGGCCACTTTCCTCTGCTGCCCGAGGGCCAGCGCCCGGACTGGGCCGCGCTCATGTGCGCCATATGCTTCGGCGAGGCGCCGGAGCCGCCGGCCGCGGCGTCGGAGGAGTTCCGGGACTTCGTGGCGCGGTGCCTCGAGAAGAAGGCCGGCCGGCGCGCTTCGGTGGCCGAGCTACTGGAGCACCCGTTCGTCGCCGAGCGGGACGCCGCCGGCGCACAGCACGCGCTCGCTGCGCTCGTCGCAGAGGCGGAGCAGCGCGACCAATACTAGACAGGCTGCCGCTGCCCTGCGGTTAATTACAGTAATTCACTACTACTCCAGTACTCCTAGGAGATCAACAAGAAGTATAGGACGAGCTGAGGTGTACATAAATTACGCCACGTGCGTAGCCTTTTCTTTTTTTTTTCGCCGTTTTATCTTTTATTCATTCGTTCATTGAGTTCATCAAGCAAATCTCAAGAGGCAACAAGTTCGTGAAATTCAAGATCCAGCTGTGCTGGCTGTCTAGATTGCTGTTAAGTCATTCATTTGACGTGATCCATGCTTTGAATTTTTGTATAAGCATGAACAAACCTGTTTGCTCTCAAATTGTTTCGCCAATCGAAACTTGAGGGCGCTGCGTAAACAAAGAAAGAAAAGATTTGCTGTGTTCTCACCTGTAAAGGTGTATTGATTCACTTTAATGATCAACAACATGTAGCATGCGTATGAGTGGAGGAATGAGTTTGTCTCGGTGTTGGGGGTGGTTGCATTCCGGCTTCATCTGCAGGGTGTACAAAATCTACTATTGAGATGGCTGGGCCACCGGGCACAACAAATCTGTGAGCAATGGCCAATCGCACTAACAAAACGTGAAAAATAGCAGAGGTGGCAGTGGTTTCGAAAGAAGCAAGCAAGCAAGTATATACAGACAAGTTGTATAATAACCAACCGGCTGTGCTGACAACTTAGTTCGAACAGCCGATTAAGGACAGCAGCAGCAGTAGTAGGTTGCCATTTAGGTTTGATTTTTCTGGGGGCGGCACTGACGCATTGTCTGTCCTTATTCCATTTGGTAGAAGCGTGCATTGCAAATGATGCATCATCTCCAAGATTACTCCAGAACGTGCGCAACGAAAATGCTACGCGGTCACAGCTAGCCTAGTCACAGCATCACACCATCACTTTTCTTGCTTCTGACCAAAGTTTGGCACCGTTTTAAAGGTATATACTCCCTCCGCCCCACAAAACATATAATCCTACAGTTCAAATCTTGTCCCAAAATTCATGTAATCCTAGAGTTCAGGTTTGTCGGATACCAGAAAATGGGGTACCCCAAGCAAAAATCGAAAAACTGCTTAGACTCTAAGAACAGAACCAACGGAATAAACAAACGAGGTCTCGGTCGAAATCTCCGATTCGCCCGAGACCCCGTCGCCGAGCCCCAGCGGAAGCGAACGATTCTCCGCCTCGCCGAGGCCCCCTCGCCCGGGGCCTCGGAAGAAGTGCCGATTCTCCGATTCGCGCGAGGCCGGCTCGGCACCAGCCCCGTGACCGCCTATTCGACCAAACTGCTCTGACCGAATGTCGCATCCAAGCGCCCAACCACTCCGACAGACGCACGATGGCACAGTACAGCGAAGTGATCGACTACACGTCAGTCGCGTCAACCTCCTGCCATCTGCGACGGCACAGAGCAGGGGTTACCGACCACTGTGTTGCCTAACTCCTGCGCCAAGGACATCGCAACATGGGGAGTCAGAACGGATTCCTGTAGCCTCGGAATCAGCGGACCGACCGCTCTGGCTCGCCCGAGCCCCCTCGACAGGGCCTCGGATTCACTGATCTTACTCCGCCTCGCCCGTCGTCGCCTCGCCCGAGACCCCCGGTAGGGGGCCTCGACGACAATTGGCGCGCTCGCTTCGCCCGAGGCGGGCACAAATCCCGCAACCTCGTCGCCTCCGCCTCAAAGGTCTCTTTGGCGGTCGTCGCATCAATTAATCGCGCCATTTGCACCGCCACGTAAGCCACCACGATCGGCGGTCAATTTGCCGCAACAGAGCGACGGGACAACGGTTAGATCACCTTTTTA